TGTGTGTGTGTGTGTGTGTGTGAGAGATGGCCTCGGCTCTGTTACTCTGTGTGTGGTCCCTGTTTCATTTTTTTTTCTTGCCTCTGACTCACTCAGTCAGAGGCAGCCATGTTGCTGTGGGGTTTTTTAAGGAGGCCCAGACACACACACACACGGTGGAGGGGCAGAGTTAACCCAGTTTTACTCCCAGAACACCAGGAGAGAAACAAAGCATGTGCAGCCGTGCAAATACCACGAGTGCACTGTCCATTTGATGTGAGAACAACAGTTACACCACGTCGGACTCTGTCACAGATCAGTTTTTTACTGATTTCACAAGCATCATAGTGTAATGGTTACAGAATAATGTCATTGTGTGTGAGTTTTGTGTTCAGGATCCCTGCAGCCTCCTTAACCCGGCGATAGGAAGCCCAGTCCATCATGAGCCTCCCAAAGGAAACTGGTTCAGTGTAGTTTGGAGTTATTTACTGTGCCGCCTCACTCCCTCCGACCCACGCACAGCACGGACTCACACCACGGCACACAAACATGTAACAGCTCCTCAAAATGTTCATGCAAATCTTTATGTAATAATACGCACACAATGTTTTTAATGGCAAACAAACACCATGTTCTTCATAGAAGGATTTATTCATGTAAAAGAGGAAATCATCTAACATCTGTGTGATAATATCTCTGTTTATATCAAGTGTCACAGAATCTAACACATGGGTTCAGTCTAATCTGGTAGTTGGGAATAGATGGTGGAGGGGGTTACAGATACAGTGTCTGTTCATTAAACATTTACATCATGATGTTATTTCATGTACTTGTATTGTGATGTAAAATAAATAAATATTATTTGTACTACCTTTGTGTTTCCGTCTGTTTGTGTGTTATTGAGCAGAACTGCTGGACCAGAAAACTTAGTGGGAGGATGTGTTACAGGTCAGGAAACCACCAGGATCTTTTTTCACCTTCTTTAACATCGAGAGAAGTTTATTTCTCAGAGTAATTCATGGATCTTGATTAAACTACACAGAATTTAATCACACAGTTGAACAAACTTAGAGAAATATGGATTTGATCAACAATGACTGAAATGACTATATCTATATATGGAATGTATTATTCAAACATATTTAGATTATATGTGATACACATATCATGGCTATAACCATAGCAGTGCTATATTTCTGGATTTCTTTTGCAAGAGCACGCAAGAGTATTTCTCTTATATCATGTAAGTGTCCTGTGCATTGAGTTTAGCATTATTGCTTCAATTTCTTATTAAATTTCATTCATTTTATTGAAATGCTTATTTCTCTGTTTGCTCCGCTCTGGTGCCGCTGCAGCTTGTGAATCCTGGTCTTCAATGCTGATTTAAAATATAATATAATTCATGATATAAATTATAAATACTATTCTGAGTGCTTTGAGTATAGCTTCTGTGTATTGTTCTGGTAAATCACTTTATTCTCATAAAGTTTAAGGGTACTCAAACCTTGACAACCTGATTAATAACATCACATCGGCCCTGATTCAAACTACACTTTCCAGAGGGGGGGTCTGAGTTGTTTTGGGGGGGGGGGTTCCTGGAGAGGAGACACTGTGGAAAAGGGCCTTACACATTCTTCCACTTGCAGGGGGGGGGATGGTAGAGGAGGAGGTGGTGGAGGTTGTGTTGCCCTGGTTGTCCTCGACCATGTGCATACCAGAGACACACACACACACACACACACACACACTAACAACAAGGATCTGAACTCAACAAAAACCCCACAAATCCAGACACATCAGAGATGTGAGGCAGCTTCTTCTTCTCCTCTGCAGCAGATTACGCAGGGAGGTGGGAGCTGTGGAGAAAAGGGGGTGGTGCGTGTGAGCCGCAGATCTGGTTACACACATCCAGACTTTTCATGGCAAGTTTTTTTGCAAAGTGGGGGGAGGGCGAAGCTGCGACTTTTTCCTCGGGCCTGATGTCTTTTACTTCTTTTTTTTTAATTCCCAGCCTCAAGCAAAACTTCATAAGCAGATCATCCATTTTTTGAAGTTCCTCTGCAGCCTGTGCGTCTTTCTGGAGCAGTTTGGATAATGAGTGAATTCAGGAAGATCCAGCAAAGATCGGAGGATAAAAAAAAAGTTGGGGAGGAAACTTTGAAGCGGCCCAGAGATTTTCTTCAGCATGGAAATAATGAATTCTTCATGTAAAGAAGGAAACATCCTGTCTGGATTACTGACAAAGGACCATTTACGCACCAGAATATAAGAGAATACACTTTATTATTATTATTTTTCCTGCACAGTTGCTTCTCTCTCAAACCCAAGATGTCTTCCCACGGCTGGAGCCCCATTGTTGGGATGCTTTGCGTCTGGGCTGCTGCTGCTGCCTGGCTCCCGGGCTCCGGGGCAGTGTTGTCTCCAAACGGGACAATGTTCGAGGACAACTGCAAGAGAACCACAACCTGCGAGGCCCTGAAGTACAACACATGCCTGGGGTCTCCTCTGCCCTACACCCACACCTCTCTGGTCCTGGCTGAGGACTCCAGCACACAAGAGGAGGCTTTTGAGAAGCTGACCATGTGGTCTGGTAAGATGTTGTGATCCCAGTGAAACACTGAGAAATGATGTTAGATCCCATTCTGCAGCCTGTGATCACACTGTTATCTAATATGTTATCAATCAGTTCTGATATGTAAAGCATGCTTCATGCAGTAAAACATAGAGAACAAATGAGATGGAAAATACATATTGATGCACTACACTAACAAAATAACACAACAGCATATGAAGCACAATATTTCCACCAAACACAGACACACACAAAACTAATAGTTAAAGCCTGAGAGAAAATTAATGTTTTGCTTTGCCTGAAATTAATGTTTGAATAGATATTATTTTCAGATTTTACCTTCATTACAAGTCCCACATGGTTTAATTAATAAATAAATAAATTCATAGTGATTATTGTACTCATTGTCACTTCCTAAATATGATTCTAAAAGATAAAGGCAGGATAAATATAAAAATATGAATTCACAGTGTAATGTTTACTTTATGTGTCTACAGGGGGGGCTATTATGTGTCACATGTTTGTACCATTCAATAATTCATTTATAGTGATAATCATCATTTCCTAAATCTTTTCATGTTAATTCAATAGGATGTAACTGTGCAATTTGTACTTTATGCTCTCTATGGTTTGTCATGTCTCTGTTGTGCACTTTTCTTATTATAAAGACAAAATCAAATTCTTTATCAACTTAAGAAAATGACCTCAGATGTAAACACACAAATCAACACGAAAAATTAAAATTAACAAGATATATCAACACAATTAACTTTGATTTGAAAATACTTGATTCCTTTGTGTGTTTTAAGCTGGTAAATACATTTATTTTGTTGGTATAAAAAGAAAACTGCACCACAGACATGATAAACCCCAGTTATAGAGCAAATTAATTATTATAATAATAAAGTGACAGTAAACACAATAATTACTACACTGTATGTATTGTTCGACACAAATCACAGCAGGAGTCATTTGTAATGAAGTTAAAACCAGAAAATAACCTTTTAAGACTTTATTTTGTAGTAATCACATATTAAAGTCTCATTATGAAGCCACGTATAAATTCAAAAGATCTTGTATTTGAATTCAAGAATCTCAGTCCTCCAATAAATAAATGAATTTTATCTGATAAAATGTCCTCTTAACAAATCCTCAGTATCTGCTGCTCTTGTGGCTTTAATGTGATAATAATGTTAATTGTTGTGACAATGAGCTGCGATGAGACGTCTCAGGTACTTGGGGGAATGAGAGGACGAGAGGCGGGACAGGAAATGAAGGGTTAAAAGTCATTAAATGAAACAAAGGCCGTCACTCATAGGTGTTAGTGAGGAGACAATGGAAGAGTGACACCAGTGAAAGAGTTTGAGATATTCTGCAGGAGGACGACATCATTCAGAACGTCTCACTAATGACCTGTCGCTGTCTGACTCTGTGTTGTTGAACAGGGTTTAAATCCAGATGTCATATCTGTGACTGTCGAGTCCTTACTATGTCTTTCATTATAAAGCTAAAGTTACAGGTGCTATATAAGTTCTCTATGCACTGATACAAAATTTACCTCCACAGATATCCTCAGGGATGCATTATTTAATTTTATTTATTTATTTGATAGGGACACAAACTCTTATTTATTGTCATCATCTATGTGCATTATATATACATGCACCCAAACAATAAGAAACACATGATTTAAACAATACAGCTTATAAAAAAAGCAAACCACCCATGATTAAATAACATTATAAAAATCTAACAATACAATGCAACACACAGGTACAATACAAAACCACAGATACACATGTAAACTAAATTAGATAAACTGGAATGATTATTACACATGATCACAGGTTTGGTTTGATTTAAGTTTGTTTTTAAATGTTATATAATTACTAGTTGTTCCAATAGTTGTTGGCTCTGACTGAGAAGACTGGGCCCAAACTGGCTCCATCTTTACTGTAATTATAGTTTTTCATATTCAATATCCAAACATCAGGAACAGACAGTAGTAACTACAGTAGGGCTATTTCTTGATTTTTGATTTATTTCCATTAGGTCATCTGTTTACTGGTTGCAGCTTCTACATTGTGATCTGTACAGCTTATAATTAAGTTGGAGCTCGGGCAATTCCCAGCTGACATGGAGCCAGATAGGAGACATCATCCTGGACATGAGGCCAGTGTATCGCACGGTTAGAGTTAAACAACCACTCAGGAAATTTAAAGCCTCCAATCAACTTAACTCCAATCTGCATGACTTTGGACTGTGGGAGGGAGAAAACCCACATAAATGAAATATCTCACAGATAAAACAAGACTTTTAAACACGTCGCTTCTTGGAAATTGCAACTAAATTCTTTTATAGATAAATGAAGCTCATAGCATTTCTCTTTGATTTGAAATCCTAGGTCTGAGGAACGCTCCTCGCTGCTGGTCGGTCATCCAGCCGCTGCTCTGTGCTGTCTACATGCCCAAGTGTGAGAACGGTCGGGTGGAGCTGCCCAGCCAGACCCTGTGTCAGGCCACACGTCGGCCGTGCAGCATCGTGGACCAGGAGCGAGGCTGGCCCACTTTCCTCAAATGTGACCAATTCCCAGTGGGATGTTCGGTGCGCTTCATTTCTACATACTGTACATGTAGTTATATACTTCACTGTCCACTGGTAAAGCTCATCTTTTCCTCTGTGCAGAATGAGGTGCAGAAGCTGAAGTTCAACACGTCGGGCCAGTGTGAAGCTCCTCTGGTGAAGACGGACATTCAGTCAAGTTGGTACAAAGACGTGGAGGGCTGCGGCATCCAGTGCGACAACCCTCTGTTCACCCAGAGCGAGCACAACGACATGCACGTCTACATCGCCTACTTCGGCACCATCACGCTCCTCTGCACCTTCTTCACTCTGGTAAAACATAAATACAACACCCAGCAAGTTGTTAATTGATCGCATTTATTCTCTTCAACCTTCGCATCCCTTTTACATTTCCTCCTTTTTCAGGCCACGTTTCTCGCTGACTGGAAAAACTCCAACCGCTACCCAGCCGTCATCCTCTTCTACATCAACGCCTGCTTCTTCGTGGGCAGCATCGGCTGGTTGGCCCAGTTCCTGGACGGAGCGCGCGAAGAGATCGTGTGCAAGAGCGACAACACCATGCGACTTGGGGAGCCATCGTAAGAAAACATCCTCAATTAGAATACCATCAGTCGTATCTCTGTTTGTTAACAAAAAGCGAAAAAGGCTTGAGATTATTACCAATTATGAAAATATAACGTGCCGGTCTCTGCAGGTCCTCGGAGACGCTGTCATGTGTCACCATCTTCATCATCGTCTACTACTCCCTGATGTCCGGCGTGATCTGGTTCGTCATGCTCACCTACGCCTGGCACACGTCCTTCAAAGCCCTGGGCACCACACAGCAGCCGCTGTCTGGCAGAACCTCCTACTTCCACATGGTCACCTGGTCCATCCCCTTCGTCCTCACCGTGGCCATCCTGGCTATCGCTGAGGTGCGGAGGAAGTCCTTCATCATTTATTTTTTTAGTTTGATCACGTGGCCACTTTACTGACGTCCTCTGTCTGCGTTGTCCACAGGTGGATGGAGACTCAGTGAGCGGGATCTGTTTTGTGGGTTATAAGAACTACAGATATCGGGCTGGGTTTGTGCTGGCACCAATTGGTGTCGTGCTTGTTGTTGGTGGCTACTTCCTGATTCGGGGTGAGCACACACATTTACAGCAGCATCATTTTCTCATGTCACCGCAAAGATTTCAAATTTCAACTCAGAAGTTAAAACAGACGTTATTTATTCACATGCACCCTCGACATCGATTAATTTCATGTACTTCTCTGTTTTAGGGGTCATGACCTTGTTTTCCATCAAGAGTAACCACCCAGGACTACTGAGTGAGAAAGCGGCGAGCAAAATCAACGAGACCATGTTGAGACTGGGTGTGTTCTGATGTCTTTTGTCCATTTCAACCATTCAGGTCGAGACCTGGGTCAAACTAAAGTCGTTTTCAGACATGAGAATGTCTGGATGCTCTTACTCAGACATTTTCGTTCTTGTCCGGAGTTCAGTGCATGTTTGAAATCAAATGTTAGAAGAGTTTGTAGCTGTGTGTTTCATCGTTCTGAATAAATATCCCCAGATCTCGTTTTTGAATCAGCTGTGCTCTGTATAAACTTTATTCGTGGTGACGTGTCGGAAATTTAGTTTCTAATATGTTCCTCTGTTTCTCCTCATCAGGCATATTTGGTTTCCTCGCTTTCGGGTTTGTTTTAATCACCTTCGGATGCCACTTCTACGACTTCTTCAACCAGGCTGAGTGGGAGAGGAGCTTCAGAGAATATGTGCTGTGAGTGTTTCTTTGCTGTGTTACTGTTGATTATCACAGCCTCCGCTCCCTCAGCTTCACCCTCTGCATCCAGTCACACACAGAAATCCACTAACTGATGCTGTTAAAATTCCAAACCGCTGCTCCACCGCTCAAATTTACAACTGTGAATGCAGCCCTGTATTTCTCTCACAGTGTTGACACTGGCTGGATCGGAGTTAATTTCACCTCAAAAATGTAAACCGCTCTTTCCTGTCCCAACATGCAACAGTCCCTCTTATTCAGCAGCACCCGTTCTTTGAATGCACCTCAGTCACAGTGGCCGGAGCGCAGGACACTGACCGATCGTATCCATTCAATATCTCCCAACAGGTGTGAAGCCAACGTGACGATCGCCTCTCAGACCAACAAGCCAATCCCAGAATGCACCATTAAAAACCGGCCGAGTCTAATGGTGGAGAAAATAAACCTGTTCTCCATGTTCGGGACCGGAATCGCTATGAGCACCTGGGTCTGGACTAAAGCCACCATCCTCATCTGGAAACGCACCTGGTGCAAGTAAGCAAGCACAAATGTAACATAAAGAATAAAATTCAGTGTTAATCTTGTAAAGTGCTGACTGTGCCCTGGAGAGAAATAAAACTGGAATTAAGCCTCTTGGAATGATTGTTTTCAGTTTGAGCGTTAAACTCTCTAATCCAGTGTTTTTAACAGCAACGTAAAGTGAGAGAACATATAGGACATTGAAGTTAATGGTCTTAAACTCATGGGGCTTCAGTTTATTTCTAACCACTAGGACCTGATCTTTTGTCATTGATGGGTTTCTAATCTTAACATTTCTCAGAAAGCTTCACGCCGCCTCCTGATGCTTCAGGAACATTAACGTCTTCTGCTTTTCATATTCACCCCCCTCACCCTGTGTCAGGATTATCGGCCGCAGCGACAACGAGCCCAAGAGGATCAAGAAGAGCAAGATGATCGCCAAGGCGTTTGCGATGAGGAAGGAGCTCCACAAGGACCCGGAGAAGGAGCTGTCGTTCAGCATGCACACGGTGTCGCACGACGGGCCAGTGGGTGAGTGTTTCAGGAGATTTGTAGAATAGATAGAGTTTTTCACACAGAGAAGTTTATAGTGATTTTTCTCAGATTGACTCAAATGAATATTTACTTTGTTGTCTAATTTTACTGAAACAGTGTCTGCACTTCCACCTTGTGGCAAATAACTGAAACTGCAAATAGTATTATGCGATTACTCCAAATCCAGAAAAGAGTTCATGTACATATAATTATTCATAATCATATTATTCTATAGTATTAGTTGTAAGAATGTTTTACCCCTGATAATAAAGATTTGATTCACCAAAAGTACAAACACACATTTTCATCTTGTGCTGTTTATCCATGTTTCAGAACCAGAATCTGAAATCAGGATTATTTATTTGGGACAAAACATAGAATCACTTTGTTAAAACAAATTTAAGTTTAGGTTTTCAATTTTAAAACATCTTGATGATCTCAAAACCTGGACGTATAAAAACAAAAACTGGCCGCATGACACAAACCATAGATCTTCTATTTGATATTTTGTGGTGACGCGGTCAGAGGCAGCTGTTGTGTCTGTAGCTAAGAAGCGAATGACACATTCCTCGGCCATGCTTATTTATCTTGGAGCAGGTCGGAGCTGTTGAGAGTTCGTTGGATTTAAAGCTGCTTGTCTTTTCTCATTCGTAGCTGGAATCAATTTTGAAATAAATGAGCCTTCCAATGAAATGTCGTCGGCTTGGGCGCAGCACGTGACAAAGATGGTGGCCCGGCGAGGTGCCATCCTGCCTCAGGACATTTCTGTCACACCCACAGGCACACCAGGTGAGAGCTGCAGGTCTGCACTAAATACACATGTTCCCTCATTACCTCTGACTTTTTATCCTTCTTTACTTCAATCTACCTCTTTGCCTTATCACAAATCTACTAAAAACAAACTCTTCTCTTGATTTTCCACAGTGCCACCTCCAGAAGAGAGGAATAGACTGTGGATGGTGGAGGCTGAGATTTCACCTGAGATGATAAAGAGGAAGAAGAAGAAAAAGAAGAGGAAGAAGGAGGTGCGTCCAGTGAAGGAGGTGACGGAGCACCAGACGTATCATCAGCGTGAGTTTTGCCGCAGCTCGGTGCCTCGTCTGCCCAAGCTGCCCTGTCACCCGAGCCTGGTCGCCAACCTGCAGGAACAGCAGAAGCTGGAGGAGGAAGTCCTACCAGGGTCCTATCCCGACTTCCAAACCTCACACCCTCTGTCCTGTGTGGAGCGATGTCCCTACCCACCCTACCAGAGCAGCCAGAACAGCTACGGCCGCAGCCTGCTCTCTAATCCTCTGACCTTCAGCGATCTTCCAGAGGATCTGGGTCTCGGCCCTCGCTGTCCGCCCTCTGCCTCCACCTGGCAGCCAAGCAGATCATCTCACTACCCCCGGGAGGTGCATCTCACCGACGGGCTGTCAGAGAGGTTGGCCCACGTGGCTCGGGTCCCAGCGGGCCGCAGGGTCGGCTATGGGCCCATCCACTCCCGGACCAATTTGATGGAAGCGGAGCTTATGGACGCTGACTCTGACTTCTAAGACTAAAGCTCCGTACCGTCTCTCTCTTTGCGGTACACAGACAGTAAGCTATGAAAAGTGCTGGATACTTCTTAATTCTTACTAAAGTGCACCAACAATGTCCAGACTCAAGACTGAACTGAGCTGGTCATTTTTATTTTCTTTCAAATTTTGTTTTTCTTCTTTTTTTAAAGGAAAAGGATAAAGTAAAAAAAAAAACAAGTTGTGAATAAGTTAAAGAATAATTTTGTACTTTGTGTCCAATTGAATTTCAAAGGCAACTTCATGATGATGATACAAATGAGGCAGCTAAACTGTTCGTGGCTTGAAACAATATAGATTATTAGTTTGAAACCCTATTAGCTCAACATTCAACTCAAAATGTCATGATTGCTATTTGACCCACTCGTCTAATTTTGGAGATCACAATAAAAGGTGCTGCATTTATTGTTTTTGAGCTGTAATCCTAGAAAACCTACTCTCATAATACAGAAAACCTCGACTCATACATTAAACCACACAACTACAGGCTGCCTGCAAATACTTTTGAACCCAGGTCTTCTCTTGTATTATATGTTAATGTTTGTTTCGCTCTTCCCACCAATATTTAGCCAATAGTTATATGTGTTTATGTACAGTTAACTAGAGGTACTTACCGCTATCCCCTGCTCTATTAGTACTAATATCACTGTCACTAAAGGATTGATTTCTTTAAGAGTTTGTTTTTACACACTGGGATGTAAACTGAAGCCATGAAGAACTGAAGGAAAAGGTCAAGCTTGACTCGTTTAGCTCACAGCAGTTTCACAGCTTCTAGGCACGGTCACAAATACACAGAGGTAACAGTTCACTTCCAATCTGTGCAAGTGAGGAGGCAAACAAAACACTTGCAAAGCAAATCCGCTACAACTTTGCTGAACTTTGAATTACTTTGAACTTTGTAATATTCATCTGTGTGCGCATATGTAAGACTCCGACCTCACGCTGTGGTTATTTACATCACTTTTTGTCTAAATTACCCAAATGTCCTTATGTTCTTTGATTTCTTAACATCAGCAAAGCAACAGAAACATGATTTTAATGTTAATCAGCTCATAGAACTAAATGTTACTGAGCTAAGATACATCGAAATGATCTGTTGCCTGGTGCAACACTTAATGCAGTCAACATTTTTTTCTGAATGCGTTCTTTTTGTATATTACAGAAAAAACTACATATTACATTATACAATTATTTTTAAAAGGGTTATTTTTTTACAGCAGTGTTCGTACGTTAGTTCATCTGTTGTAAATATTCAGTCTAAACTGGGCTTCGTGTCTTTTTCTCTTCAGTCCAGATTTAAACTCCTCTGTCTTTTACACTGCAATGGACATAAAAATATTTTTTTTAAATCTGAACAAAATGCTTCCACATCTCTGTCGCTCTTTTTCCTTAATGCGTTTCCTGTACAAAGGCTGTTCATAGACTTCTCAATAAGAGTATAATTTGTACAAATTTATACATCGAATCTCTTGATACTCTGCTGACATCATATATAAAAAGGGAAGAGTTGATTATGCTATTAAAAAAGTTGTCACTGTACTTGTGCTGTAACCAAAATATCCCCTTGTGTTGACATGTTACTCTCACAGTGGATAAATGATGCTGAAGTAGATGGTGCTAGATGCCTCTTAGCCAATGGAGAACGAGCTTTGTCTAATATGTATTGTCATGTGTATGAAAGAGGATTATTTATGTTAGGAATAGTGAACACTCCGCTATGAATTTAATGATGTACAGAAACTCAGTAGACCATAAACCCTTGCCAAGGCCCCACTGTCCAAGATCCATTAATCAGTTTTTGCGTAATCCTGCTAACAAACACACAAACAGATAGGGGTGAAAAAATAACCTCCTCAGCGGAGGTAATGAAGCAATGTCTGCCCAAACGTTTCCTCCAAATATTATTAAGAAATCAAATGAGAATTACTTTTGAGACTTTGTACGTCTTTTCTTAGGCATCAAGAGATTTATCAATGGGCCAGTCTGTGTTGCCTTTTGTGTAAAAAAACATTTACTGTCATTTTTACCATGCAAGTGTATTTTTTGTTGTTTTTACGTAAATAAAATAATCCTTCATATTTGTGATTGTCACTTCAGATAGATGAACATCAACCTTTGCAGCATTCACAGCTTTCTGCACTTTATGGATTCTTGCACTAGAGGGGTGTGAAATTTAAAAATCCCTTACGTCGTGGTTTTAAACAGTAAAAAAAACAAATACACCAAAGTATCAATTAAAACAAAACACTCATAGCTTTCTGCTACTGTGTCTTTATTTTATTCTTACATTTGCTAAAGTGTCAGATTTTTAAATCCAGCACAAAGTGGTTTTGAATAGTTAAAAAAAGTGATTACCAGTCTCACTCTCACTTAAAATAAAACATAAGTTTATGATGTGCAAATTTATATATATTCTAAAAAACTATACAATTTAAACTTGGGAGTCGTCCCCCCCCTGTTCCACCCTGCTCCTCCGCCCCTGCAGGGCGTCAGTAAGCAGCCAGTGACAGATCAGGATATAAAGAGAGGAAGAAGCTCACACACACATAGACACACACACACACGCACACACGCAGGGTGGACACGTGTAGTAAACACTCAGCATGTCGGACAGAAAGACTTCGTCGGTGCCAGATGATGCGGACAGTCTCCGGAGAAGATCCGCAGCTCAGGACTCCTCAGGTGAGTCTACTGCAGCTCTTGGTGTTCATGGTTTAGCCCGGTGAGAGGGGGACGAAGGTTTGAATTTATTTCTGTGCTAGTTTGACCTTAATTTGGCGAAAGCGCGTGCTCGTCAAACTTACCTGCTGCTGCCAAAGTTTCAAAGAGTCCTGGGGGGGGTGTTTCAGGAATCACAGGCAGGAGCAGAGGATCTTGGTTATTTCCTTGTGATGATCACAACTTTATTGTATGTGTATGTGTGTGTGTGTGTGTGTGTGTGTGTGTGTGTGTTATACATCATGTTAGTTTGGGTCATTAGGAAGAAGAAGGTTTAAAGCAGCCTGTTCTGACTAATTGTTCCTCAGCCACGTTTATGAATGTTTTTTATCATTAAATGCTTCTGTTTGGCCAAAGTCAAGTGCTCACTCAAATGCAGGAGACTTTGACCTTAACAACTCCAGTTTTCTGTAGATTTGACTTCTAGTTGCCTCCAAAAATCCTCCTCATGATCCATCAAACCTCCAACTGTCACTGTGCCTGTTTTAAAATCAGAGAAGTGACACTAGCTGCAGATTGTCATTTATAAGACAGTTCAGAGTAAAAACTGAATACTGTTACTTTTATTCTAAAGCACTGCATCACTTTATTTTCTTTTGTGTGACGTGTGAGCAATGCATTGATAATGTGATTATTCTTGGCTGGCAGCACTTGACAGTGTGGGGGGAGCGGGGACACTCTGCATGACTCTCAGCAGGTTTTTGTTAGTCACACACATTTCCATGGCGCGGCTGAAATGTGTTTTTCCTCGATGTCGCTCCTCTTCCTCACCATGAACGCAACATCTCAGTTGTGTAGATGTGTCGATCAATGCATATTTTATTTCTCAACATTGCTTTATGTATTGTGTTCTTTTTTTTTTTTTTTTCAAATGTACGAATCTGTCTTCCGTGATATTTCCAGAGATCTATGTAGATCCTGAACAGCATCGTCGGTTTCCACGACGACAGTCCCAAACTGACAGACTTTGTGTTGGCCCCCAGCATCCAGAGCTCGGGACGATGGCAACACCCTCCCCAGATGGTTCTGGTGCCCACTTCTACCACTACACGCCCAAATGTTTCCTCACCATCCACAGAGGTTAGTGACACATTCGTTTACACTAGGAAATAAACAAGTGAGCATATTCTCATCGAAAAACCTTTCACTTGTCAAAGAAAACATTTAAATTCTAAATGGCTGCGTTATTATGGCAAAATGCACCGTTCCTGTATGTGCATGTTTTTGGTTCTGCTCACGTTGAATTTGGACATGTTCAAATGTAGAGGGAGAGAAGTGAAGGGAAAATAGTGAGAACAGGAGTTGTAGAAGGATTCTGGTTTCTGGTCTCGCCCGGATGAACAGTCTCGCACTTGTGATTTTCTGCTGCAGGTCACGGCACCTCAGCCCGGTCGACTCCGTCACAGAATGGAGAGGAGGGTTGGCATGATGCCACCACCAAGACCACCATCAGAGCTGAGAATGAGGTGGAGGCTCACAGGGAAGCCAACAACTACAGGGTGAGTTGTGAACGCTGCTGCACATCAATGATATTCACCTTTTTCAACTCTGGGATTTTGAAAATGCCTGGTTGTGTTACTGTTTTCTGGATTTGAGTGTGATTGGGATGAATAGAATGTGGGACGGGGAAGCTTTGCAGGGGGCTCCTGTATGTTTAGAGGGAATAATGCAGAGTTCAAATAAATATAAAAAGTGATCTGGTCTCTCAATCATACGAAGGAGTCTCAGATTTAACAGATTACAGATTCATTTGTTTGAAGTTAAACCATTTTCTTTACTACATTGCAGGATTTAGTTTCTTGACCTTTTGACCAATTCATGGGTCTTGATTTTTTTTGTTTTTTCCCCCTGCTTTATCCCATCCTCTCATTTTCATTTAAATTCTGATGCGTAGCTACATAGAACTAATTTATCTGAAAGTTCTCATGATTAAATATATACTTTGACAATAACATTCAACTGTGTAATCTATAGTATGTTTTGCTGTGTGTGTTTTTTGCAGTTTGGCTTCAGGAAGTGGAAGGGCAACGTGACAGAGAAGCCAATCGGGGAGAGATCAGACATCACCAAAGAGCTGTACACTGATCTAAGTGTTGTTAGGCCTCAAGAAGGTCTTTCTATTTCATTTCTCTCTTTGCAAGCATTCAGATTAACAGGACGTTCCTTACAAAAGAAAACACAAACCTGTATTCATGATTTCTCCTCTCTTTCAGGCTTGGCGGTTTCCTTTGGGAACATAATTTATGTTTTTTTATTTGGATGGTGGATATCTTTAATCTACTTCCTCATTTGTCCTATAATGTTTCTAACTATCTTTGGAGCTCCATATGGTATGTATTCTTAAAAAATGGCTCTGAATATTGCAGATTTCCCTAAATGTGGAACATAATGATGTTTTTGTTTTGGCTATTTCCAGGTAAACTTTGTTGGAAGTTGGCGTTGTACTTTATTTGGCCATTTGAAAAGTCCATAGAAAAGGTATCCTGTCTTTGAACACGTATTCCGATATCATGACTGCAATAGCTTGGAAATATTTGTTACATGCTACAAGAGTAAAGATTCATATAAGAAACTTTAGCTGACGTATCTGGACAACTCATTTCATTTTTGTCAGGCCAATGATGCAATGAAGAGTTCCATCCTGAAGCCTCCAAAGTGTGACGTCATTCCTGAGGAGGGGGACACCGAGGACAGCAAGGACATGATCCGAGACAAGGACTCCGCCCCCCTCTTGGTGTCTTCTCCCATCTCTTTGGAGATCCCGGTCCCAGAACCACCTGTCAGAAAAGCTTCAAAACACTGGGTGAGAGAGTCTGGATGATCTCAATCACTGAGCAAAATATACGAGTTGGTGTTATTAATGATTCTCCCTCTGCAGTGTCGTGTCAGCACCTATGTGTGGCTGCTCCTGGGTTACCCTGTGCTGGCTGTGGCCCACTCCGTCGCCTGTGTGCTCTCCTGGCTGCTGATCTTCACCATCCCTGTAGCCAAGATGAATGCTCGCACGCTGTCCACAGTGCTCCTCATGGCACCAGAGGACGTCCAGATCCAGAGACAGGAAAAGGTAAAATGGTCACATGGACAGATTATTGATCCAGAAGGAAATTCAGGAGGAAGAGAAAGATATGATGTTGAGGAATGTGTGTAATGATCTTCCTTCCTGTGATCGTCGTAAATGTCAAAACAACTTCAACCACTTCTTTTTTATAGCCTCCATGATATCTCCATGTGTGAATTGGCTTCATTACAAACATTTTCCAGATCAAAACTGATAACAACACATGTGGATTATCCAGAGGAACCTTGAAGTTGTCCGTGCAAAAATAAGTTTGAAAAGAAATCACAAATATTAGAAACATCAGCATAAGGTAACTGGCCTGATATCAGTTGTGCTACATTAAGAAATGTTTTGAATTTAATGAATCTATAACGTGTGATGAATTATGTTCTCTTTTCCAGAAAAGTAGCTGTGAGATCAGAGTCGTCTTATACTGTTATCAAGCATCTAATGTGCATTACTGCAAATACACAGTTCAAGGAATCAACATTTTCGCTCTCAGTATCCTTTTTTTTAGTTGTTGGATTAACTTGGCTGCCATTAGATTGCATTTAAATATTATGTGCTCACAAAATGTATTGTGTATCTAAACCTTTCAACTACTTTACATTTTCAATCCCTAATCAATCATGATATTTGTCAAGGTACCGTCCCAACGGGACAGCTGTACTGCTCTGTCCACTGTTTATTTATCTTCCTTAAGTCCATGTTCCCTGCAGACCTGCTTCCTCTGGTATTGATCACCCTGATTGTTGGCTATACTGACCCTGATCATAATTACTTTAGTGCAGAGACCAAGTTTGCCACAGCCATCACCTCTATCATCCCTCTGTCCTACTACATCGGCATGGGGATAGCCAGGTGAATTGACTCTGACCTTAAACCTGCAGGAACGATGCTTAATCTTAGTAAACCTGGATCTATGTATATCATTTAATGTGTTGATGGTTTTATTTCTTTTTTATGTGCATGCTCCCACAGCATTTCTGCGCAGAGTAACTTTGCAGTGGGGGCGGTGGTGAATGCCACATTTGGCTCCATCACAGAGATGACGTTCTACATCACAGCTCTGCTACAGGGTTACCACGCTAATAACAAGTGCTACGAAGAGATCGTCAAGGCAGCGCTCACCGGAACCTTACTTGGATGTATACTGTTCATACCTGTGAGTGCCTCAGAACGACACAAATGTCCCAGCATGCATCAGTTAATGTGCATTTCATTTCCTGTAAGACGCAGCTTTTGAAATATATGCGCAGATGCTCATGGACATTTTGGTGTGTGTCTGTCACCTGCACAGGGTATCTGTATGATCATTGGGGGCATTAAACACAGGGAGCAGAGGTTCAACAGTCGTTCAGCCGGAGTCAGTTCTGCTTTGCTTTTTATATCCGTAGGAGGTATGTATGGCTGCCACTTACACACACACACACAGCTCTTCCTTTAAAATATAACACTGCTACAAACTGCCACACAAATCTGAGTCCTGTGATGTGACACTCGTCCACAGGTGTGTTTGCTCCAACCCTTTTCTCTAAGACCTTCGGTTATCTGGTGTGTGAAAGCTGCACCAACATCCCAAACAATACCAGCGTACCCTTCATCTGCAAGGACTGTCACTACGACACGGTGGGCAGCTTCTCCTGACTTTAAACTTTAACTTCCTGATATTCTCATTGCATGTTGTTGATCAGCTCAAGCTACAGAACTGCCTGGAGCAAGTCTGAGTACCTTTTGTTTCAGTAAGGGCACAAATAATTAGTTTGAATCATGTGTGAAGATCCGTATCTAATTGGTCCCACGGCTGTTTAAAGAGGAACATGCTTACAGCAGTTGATTGATTGATTTAATTTATTATCCCCGAGGGGCAATTTGTTTTACAGTTGTTGTAAATTTATCCTAGAAAATATTTAACTTTTTTAATAAACTTGTCATTCTTTGTTCTCAGAGTCGAACTGACCCACATTTGATTCTCTCCCATATTGAGTAAGTCCAGGTGCTTCATATATTTTAGTTTTTCAACTCTCAGCTACATTTTGATGAACTATCAATTTAATAAAATCTATCCCAGGCCTCTGGTGTACACAATCTCTGTGCTGCTGCCTGCTGCGTACCTGATCGGCCTCATCTTCACACTGAAAACCCACTCCCACATCTATGATATCCACATCAGTGATGGCCATGGTGGCCATGCACATGGTCAGTATAAACAAGAGGACGCCATCACCTGCCACCCCACTGGTGAGGTCACTGCTGGCCATCTACACGCTGCCAACTCTTGTATTAATGACAGCATTATTGGCAGCTACCAGGTTACAACAGGTGTGTGCGTGCGTGTGTGTGGTTGGCGTGCATGTTATTCTATTTGTGGTGAAGGAATGCGGAATAATCCTAACTACTGACTGCCTGTTGCCGACCTGGTTAACCTGCTTGTGCATGGTAGTCACAGAGGGAAAGGTGCGCTGATGTCATGTTGTGCCTGTGCATGCCAACGTCCCTAAACACAAAGATGAGAAATGAATATTAAATGTGTGTGTTGATGAGCTCATGGCGTGTGTGCGTGTATGTGCGCGTGTGTGTGTGCGTGCGTGCGTGTGTATGTGTGTGTGTGTGTGTGTGTCACCAGGAGGTCATCATGTGGTCCACTGGTCCCGGTGGAGGGCTCTGGCAGTGCTGATTGTTGCCACGGTGCTGATGGCCTGTTGCGCGGACCTCAGCACAGAGAACGTCAAGCCCATTCTGACCAATTCCTCCATCTCCAAGGTATTGGATTAAAGTCAATCAAACTTTATTTATATAACCCAAATCGCATCCTTTGTCCTTAACCTTCAGGGTGGAAAAAGACAGAAACCTTAGGGAGAGTCACCAGTGAGGGATCCCTCTCCCAGGACGCACAGAACTACATGTCAGCAAAAAAATATATTTAAAACATTAAAAAGAAAAGACAGTGTCTAACATCACTGGAGAGGTGTTTAAAGTGTTAATGCTAAAGAAAAAGTTTGACAGAGATGAGGGGGGGGTGCATGGAAGGCATAGCAGTGTTGACAATTGTAATGATAGAGGCATGGTGGAAGGATATGCAATGGTGGTATGTATCTGTCGCAATCATGATCCATGATGTGGCTGCGGCCGTGATCCTGGATCTGCAACAACACAGCACTTGATTTCTGTGGAGCTTGAAAATGATTCCGATTTAAAGAGTCATTGCTTCACGAGACACATTTAGCTTGTGGATGATGGAAACCTTTAGAATTAAAACCCTGGGGTAGAAAGGAACAACAGAGCGTTGTTGTTTACACTATGGAGATGTGATTAACTGATATAAACTCATCTGTTAGATATAATGTGACTAAAGACCAGAGGGGGCTTGGTGTACATGATGTATTGGGGGGTTAACTCCTGTCTTAGGTTTCTTTGTACTGAGACGTGCGCTGCTTCTTTCTTGCAGTACTTCATCGGTGTCACAGTGTTGGCCATGGTGCCAGAGCTTCCTGAGATCGTCAATGGGATCCAGTTTGCGCTGCAGAACAACATCAGCCTGAGGTTCGACTAATTTACTGAGTGAACACAATAATTCATTTATTTTAATGCAAAACACAAAACCTGTGAATTTGTATCCAGGACAAAAAGATAATGAGAGTTTAAGTATATTTTGTCTTAAAATTTGTTACAAATGTTCACTTGGACTCAAGGATGAACCGATAAGAATTTGATGGTCGAAGATCAAATGTATTGGTCGCAGTTACTCCCTAATTTGGCACAAATGATCATTTGTTTGGACTGATGAACTGATTAGCTCTGGTCACAGTGGCCTCACAAAGCATGTTTGTGGCTTCTTAAATGTGATGGATGAATTGATTTGATTTCAGTGGTCAAAGGTCACGGTGACCTCACATGAGTCTGGTGATTTAAAATAAATAAATAAATAAAAACTGCATCTCACTGGTTGGAGACATACAACAGTAATTCTGGTTTTCTTCTGCAGCCTTGAAGTGGGCAGTTGCATTGCTATCCAGGTCTGTATGATCCAGATTCCACTGCTTATCCTCTTCAATGCATTTTATGTAAGTTAAACTGGATTTTCTTTTTCTTTTGTATTGGATGATTTTCTTTCTCCTACATTTGTTTCCATAACGACTTGACATTTTCTCCCCAGGATGTCGGATTTGTGCTTGTGTTCAGTGACATTCATCTCTGGGCCAGTATCTTCAGCGTCATTCTGGTCAACTACATCTTCATGGATGGAAAATGTGACTACTTTCAGGGTAAGTCACGCTAAAGTCATTTCCCCGGAGCAGAAGCATCATCAGTTCTCACGGTTTGATACTGTTTTCAAAATGCCGCATATGTAAAGCGCTCTTGCTTTGTTCCACAGGCACCGCTCTAGTGGTGGTTTACCTCATCCTTTTGGCACTTTATTTCTTTGCTCCTTCTCCTCGCTCCTGTTGATCAAGAAAAATCACTGAAAGTCTGTTTTCTACATGCACATTACTGGATGGTGTCTTTGTGCCGTTTGTTTTTGCTTGTAATCGTTGTACTGTGTGGTTTATATTGAAATTAATAAATGCATTGTTTATAAAATGTTGTTTTTGGGCAAAATTGTTGCATAAAAAAGGACTCTGTAATTGGCATTATTGGCATTATTGGCATTTTGGCGCATTTACTGTGGTCAGCTATGCATGCATGTTATTGCAAAGACCTAATCCCAGAAAAGACGTGACAACAGCAAGTCATGCAACCAGCATTGAAATATGTATCATGCTAATTGCTAGTCAAGCAAAGGAAATTGGGGGGAACCGAGAGCTATTTACAGAACACTTTATTTATATTTAACTCCAACAAGACATTCACACAAGTCTACTGTACAACAGTTGAATAGTGACCGTTTTAAACCTATGTCAAAAAGTAAAGATCTGATGAGGTTAATATAAAAAGCAGGAGAGGACATCATGCACCAAGTAGTTTGTATGCAGAACATTAATAAAAGGTGCTAACGGTGAAGAAGTGCAGGCAGGTTCATGCGTTTGTAAAAGGCATCAAAACATCTAGTAACATCCTACTCTGACTGAAATCCTAATCTCTCATTACTCGTAATCATACTTTGCTCAAGGTGCAATATTATTTGGCATCAGTGAAATGAATTGAACATTGTTAGAGTACGTGTAGGACTGATACTCAAAACACTGAGTATGCTGCATCCTGTTCTGGTGACTTTGTCTGGTTCCTGATAGGAAGAGACGAAAAGACTTGTATATTAACAGTCATTATTCTGGTCTCCATTATGCTGAGTGATTATACTGTGTGTAATAACTCTACAACAAAGATCAAATCTTCAACATAAAACATGTTCGTCTAAACATGAAAAAGATCTTACACTGCCTATACTTCCTCATCAAAAGTTTGAAAGGCACTGCCGTACACACAGATGTTTGCTACCGAAGCAACTTCTTCCAACAAAATGTCACCAACAGAGAGGGAGTAAAAAAACGTCTGAATGGAATAACAGCAAGTCTTTATTTGAATAAAAGCATTTAAGTTAATTTTTAAAGAGCACCAAATTCACAGTGATGTGTTGCATGGTTTGGTTTACAAATGAGAGCTGCAAGCAAACGGGATGGAAACAATTATTTTGAAGATACCCACCTTCCTCTGACCTTTTTTTGTGGATGATTCTCTGTAACACGATGTATGATGGAAAATACAAGGGCTCAGTCATTGGTAAAACCAGCATTTAACTTTTTCTTCACACGTTTTAGCCAATTTACTACAAATTATGTATAATATTTTTCTTTAACTCCAGACAAACACTTGTTTACATTCATACAACATAAAAACAACTAGAAAACTAGAAATTTAAGATTGGTAATCCCTGACAGTGAAAACCATTTCCATTTTTTTTTTTAATTAGGTCAAAGAAATGCAGGGATAGTGTGTGATTGACAAGTTTCAAGCTTCTGGAAGTTGATTTTTATACCATACAGAGAAAAATGGAAAAAATGGCTCACTGGAAAGTCAGGAAAACACTCTTTCAAAATCTAAAACACTACTGCTTGTCAACATATGAGATTTGTATTCAATTGACTAAAACGTGCAAAAACTGCCACTTTATAGACTGAAACCTTTTTTAAAAAAAGTAAATGCCTACAAATATGCAATACAATGTGCAAACAGCAATTTCAGGTGATGTATTCCCCCAAAACTGATTTTTGTCCTTCAAATAAATATACATGCATTCTTCCTTTGCACAGAATTCTTAAAAGTACTAGAGAAGGTTGATTAAAAAAAAAAATGGGAGAGGGCAGTCTTTGAAAACATGACAGGGCAAAATAAAGTATTTCCAGCAGTCACAGTTTGGCTGATGAGGGGCGGGAATTCGTACGTAGCTTGACACAAAGGCATCATGTAAGGAATAAAACATTCCACGTTTATTTTCTTCGTCATCACTGGAACTGCGAAATCTAAGAACAAAAAAAACAAACGAAAATAGGCATCCCATTGTTTTTGGTTTTAAGGCGGGGCTACGTCAGGCATGGGAGCGAGAGGGCGATTCCCAAGAAATTTTGCTGTGATTTTATCTTCTGTGCTCTGTCACACCTCATCTTCTCCCAGTCCAGCCCAGGTCATCCATTCCTCTGTCTGTGCTCCACTGTGTGGCTCATTTCAAGCGTTCGATTAATTCCTGTGTTAAGCCCAGGTTCAGCAGCTGCATGGTGGAGAGAGAGGACAGGTGGGGGAAAGCCTTGAGGAGCTTCTCCCAGCAGAGCTCCAGCAGGCTGGGCACCGCCAGCCAGATCTTAAAAAGTGAGCCAGTCCTCTTGTTCTCATGAATGTTCACCACGCCACCATGGATGTACATGCAGCCAGCCTGGAGACAGAGTGAAGGAAAGACTGTAGCATATGTTTTATATGAAATATAGAATAATATAGAGGAATTCAAACCCCATTAGCCAATCTTGTGGACAAATAGGAAAAATATGGCGAACAAATCTTTTCCAGTTTGTGTCCAAGGTCATTTCGCTATTTTTAACTAGCAACAGACAGAGCTAGTAATTTGCACTAACCGGGGTGACAGCAGCACAGTGGAAGTAGGCCGGCTCAGGCATCACCGCTGGAAGTTTACTCCACTGGAAAGTCTGCAGGTTGATCTTCCACAGATCAGCCAATATCAGCTCCCCGTTGTAGCCTCCACAGATAAACACATCTGCAACAGAGAAAGACAAATGATGGCATACCATGATGGTTACTTTCAACACTGAAGGTTTAACATATAACTGACTGCATATCCTTGAAACAGAATAACAGCAGCATTGAAAAGATTCTCACCGTTTCGTATTTGCACACAGCTATGGCATCTGCGAGGGGCAGGGTACCCTGTGATAGGAACAAACATTTTAGACTTGTGTGCATGAAACATGAGCAATAGGTGTTATTTCAGTGCAGGATACACACCTATTTTGTCATGAGGTTTAGTCGTAATCTCCTCCCAGGAATTGGTCTCGAGATTGTATGCATGCACCTATTAAAAGAAAAAACAATGGTACATTTACAATGGGCTTAGGTGACTACAAATAACCCTTAGCGGCGTAGAGCAGTACCTTGTCTAGAGGATAAGATGTCCAAGAAGTGCCTCCTCCCAGAATGTAGATCCTCTGTCCATCATGTGCTATTTCATGTCTGTATCTGTGGCACACACAAACAACACTGAGTTATGTCAAGGGTTCTCACAACAATGAAAAGATTCACAGCTTGTTTACAAGCATGATAGCGCACCGTTCCTCAGGCAGGTCGTCAGGAGGGTTGTTGGGCTTGAGGTGGATCCACTCCCTGGTGGTCAGGTCCAGCCTGTGTAGGTCTGTGCTATAGATGTACCCCGTTGTCCCTCCAAACACGTATAGGAAGCCGGTTATAATAACCATTGCCTGGAGGAGCAAAGATTTGAGAGCCGGTAGTTCTGTTACATACACAGTTTACAAGTTTACAGAATATCCAGTGACTAGATGTTGAAAAGCAACTGATCTCTGTAGTCCTTTCTTCTTCACAATACATATTGATTTCTGAGGCTACCTGTCCATAGATTCTGTTTGGCTTCTTCCCACGGCAGTTGAGCAGGGACCATCGCTTGTACTTCACGTTACAAACGTGAACATCGTTGCCATTATTTTCACCGAAAGGGATCCCAGTGCCTCCAAACACCAGGAGGTTGTTGCCGTGCAAAACAGCTGAGGGAAACACGGCAACATTAAATTCATGTTCCATCCACAATGCTTGTTTTTGTGTATGAAAAAAGTGCATCACAAGAAAGAAGTATTAAAATGATCAAAAGCAATGAATATGTTTTACCTGACATAGACGCCAGCTCTGTGGGCATGTAGCCTTCTGTTCGGATCTGCTGCCAGCAGCCTGTGGCAAAGTGGTACCTCCAAAGCTCCCTGAACAGTGGATAATCTTCATTATCTGAGCCTCCTGACTCATCGTAGTCTGGGTTGTAGCCTCCAAATACATACAGGTTAGTGTTGTCTGCGACACAGCGATGACCACTGCGGGCGGGGGGAGTAGGATGACCTAGAGAGGGGAAGCATGTTAATAGAGGTACTTACTCAGGTATAATGTATATTTCCTATACGTTTCAAATCATAGTGTGCTGTAGTTTTATATATAATAATCTGGCAACTTCTTGGTTCTCGTGTTTTAGATTCATCGTTCACAACATCACATGCAAGACAATGTTTTACCATCTAGGAGAAAAACTATACAAAATAAAACCTCACTATTTGAGTTTTTGATTATTTTCAGCCAGAGGCTTCAACGGGTTTCTACCAGCAGGGGCACGATGACAGAATTCAGAGCAAATTAAGTCTAATAATGGACTAAGAATAGCACCCAGCCCTACCTTCAACTCCACTCTGATGTTTAAGCCAGCAAATGCATTTTTATTAATCAGGATTTATAATGGATTCTGAAGCCCAGCAGAGAAAGAAGGCTTATAGAGAGAGAGCAGAGGAATGTAGGACACGACTGAACACCTACATTGATACAAATCTAATGCAAGTAATAACACATACAATTACTTTGGCAGTAATGTCTCAATAATTGTGAGTTATCTATTCATATGGTTCTGAATCACCACAATTCATTGCCATATGCCTGCTCAGGTGCTTCTATCAAGACTACACACTGAAAATGAATTTAACTTGACAGGTTAAATCCGCTGGCTGGATACAGAGGTAAAGTTGTAAGAGTACATGTTGTGAAAAAAGTTTCTATAGAGCACAAATATTTCTGTCAACAACATCTATTAAAACTAGTCACTGTCAAAACTTTTGCAGAATGTGTTTGACGTTGGGGCTCCTTAGAAATGTGAGTGCATCAAAGAAAATGTCCGACCAGTTAGGGCTAGTAAGGGTCAATTAAGAAAATGCAAATGTGCCACGTGCAGTATCTGGTGTGTTTATGAAAATAAGTGATAGCAAAGAATAGAAGTCATAAGTAAATCCTTTATGGAGTCACATACGATGACTCAGTCACTCATATTACATATTCATATTTCTTTGCAGTATAACCAAAGCTGGACTGTGTACTTT